TTAGAATAGAATATTTAATTTCGCTCATAAAAGATTTGTTGAACGAATAATTTTAAGCAAGACAAAAAAGAAAATGAAGAAAATTATAGTAAGGGCTATCTTTCTTTCGACCCTGTTTTCGTGTTTTGCTAGAAATTTAAAAATTAATTATGCAATTATTAAATCTTTGATTCAACTAGGCTCAAATTATACTTTATTATTCTATGAAAAACATTTTTCATCGAGAACAACTGACAAAAAAATTATATGTTTTTTAAAAATAGCGTGATTTCAAAACATACGAAAAATTTTTTCACAAAAAACCGCCTGATCAATTTTCTTATTCAACTTAATTTTTGACCACGATGTGAATCATAAAATTCATATACATGATAAAACAATTAATTTTTGTAAAATAATAATAATGCTGTTTGATTTAATTCTTTTATTTCGGTTTTTTTTTTTTGCTTTTTCCTTTTACTTCAGTAGTGAAAAAAAAATCACTAAACAGAAAATTTTGGATAAATAATATTTATAATTGAAGACAAAATTGTTGTACATATTTAGCACTGCAAAATAGCAAAAAAAAAAGATTTGAAAAAGAATGAAAAAATGGCTAAAGTGGTAAATGAAAAGAGTCTAAAGTGATATTTTCAAGCGCTATAAGATGGGAACAACGAATAGATAGGTGGAAAATAGTAGAGGAAAAACAGATGAAAACAAATTTAATTGGCATCCCTCTAAAGCTCATTTTCAAAATATCGCATTTCTTTAAAGCTATCATCCTCTTGTAATTGTAAGGTAATGTCGTTAAAAAGTTGAATTTTTACTCTTTTTTGAAGATCAAATTGTCATATTAACTGCTAATATATTCTCACATAAAAACTTATCATACTGACAAACTTGTTTTATCATTCATTCAAAAACAATCGAATAAAGTAAACAATCAATTTGTAACTTAGATTTAATTTTAATGATAATAGTATCGTTATATATATATATGTATGTATTGCTATAAACTATGAGTAAATTTAAGATTTCTTTTCTTAAAAAAGAACAAATAATTAAAAAATCAAATCATTTCTGCTAAAGATCACGAATCTGTCCTGTGAAAATTAGTTTGAAAAAAATATCGCGTTATAAAAAATATTTATTATAGCAAGGGCAAGAAAACAAAAAAAATTATAGTTAAATGTAATTATAGATTTAAAATGATTTTAATTGAAAATATTGAACAAATTTTATCCGTCTATATACTGCGGAAGAGAAAAGTAATTGAATGAAGTATATCTGGTGGATATAAACAAAAGTGCTACAAAACATTTTATGAAGAAATGAATTACCTTAAATAGAACTTGACACTAAACAATTAAAACGAAATCATACAATATTAAAATGTTATTCAACGCAATTACATGGAATATAATTAATTGAATGGAATGAATCCAATTGTATCTATTAATTTTGGTTAACTTAACCACTGATTAAATACTAGAAAATGATCAAGAAAAATTGCATACAAATTCGAGAAGTGAAATTCAATTTAATATTGCGTTCGTAATATTGCCGCACAATTATGTCATTCAATAAATTACACAAATATAAAACTCAGAAAAGAAAAATTAAATTAAAAACTGGCGAGACATTTATATGATAAACAACTGCATATTACATACAATTGATAAGGACAATTTTGCGTGATATTTGTTTACCGTAAAAGTAAAAAAAAACTTTGTTAAAAATTTTTTCACTTAATTTTTCACCCTCTTTTCCTGCATTTTGGCTTGCTCACTTTTTTTTTACAAATATTACCCCAGCAATATGTATGATCTTTAGCCTCTGCATGATTAATTATAAATGAGCAGACGTTTTTGAACCACACTTTTTTTTTATCAAAAACGATTCACGATCACTTATAAGTCTTTTATTATTTGTATGTTCTTTTTTAAAAAAAATTTCAATTCAAGAATTTTTATCTTTAAGTAAAATAATCTTTTAATGAATACCGTATATACCTACAATAAATAATTTTATCGTCAAAGATACGAAGAGAATGAAAATTCTCTGATTTATATAAAATGGAAGATATTTATCATCCGAATACATTAAAGCATACGTCAATGTTGTTGACTGATTACGTAATGAGTCATTTTGATGATTTCTCTGGTCTAAATGTCGATAACGTGCACTTGTCATATTGTATAGTGATATTGAATAAAATTTTTAAAATTTCAAAATTTTCGAATTTTTGTTGCATTTTTATAATTTGAAAGCAAACCGAAACTTAAAAAAAAGAATCATACACAATGAAAATGTGTTTGAAAAGAAACGAATGTTTTCATTAAAATTGTATGATTAAATGATCAACAAAGCAACAATAAAGAAACAATTCAATTGAAAATTGCATGCATACAATTTATAGAAGTGGAAAATATTTTGAACAATTCTTGACCTTCAATAAGTGCGATATGTACGTCTGATAGTAATAACTAATGAAATCATCAAACAGATGAAATGAAACGGATGAAAAAGAAAAAAATAAGAAATTTTACTTCCTCAGGATAGTTTAGTGACATTTCTGTGATACGAACAAAATTTATAAAGTAAATATTTATTAATCCAAGATTTTATTTTAAGAATAAATTACAAATGACAAATTGAAATAGAAATCAAAAAAAAAGTTTATTAAAAATATTGATATTTTAGATTAGTAAAACGTATGAAACTCAATTTTAAAAAAAAATGATTTCAAATGTGCTAATTTATTTATTTGTTGTTAAAATGCTGCATGATACAAATTTTTGAAAAATTCTTGAGATTATTCACAATTAAATCAATAAAAAACTTTAAATGTTAAATGAAAATTATACAAAATATTCCCTAACATTATTTTTTTATCATAAAAAAATTATGTTTTCCCTATTTAACTTAAATAATATCTAATTTTACAATTACAAATTTAAATTAGATTTTAAAATTTAAATTATGAATGCAGTACGTTTTTGCTTAACATTTACATAGCTTCCAAATTATTTTTCTTTTAATTCAAATAAATTTTACAGTTATTTTCAATTATTTCACTTTTTTGAACATTTTTTTTTTCATATTTTTTAATCGTTTGATAGTAATTAATATCTATTATAATGACTTCATATCTATTATGATGAATTAATTTTTCAATGAATTATTTCAATGAAAATCTTCATTCTTATAACTCGCCATATTATATACAGATATATCGTTAACTCGAATATTATTGCGATTAATTGAAGAAGTAAAGATGAAGTTGGAGATATAAAAATGATCGAGGAAAAGAGGAGGAGAAGGAGGAGGAGGACAGAGATAGAAGGAGAAATTTTAGGATTAAATGAATAATGAATGTAGAACAAAGAAGAGTGATGGTCGATTGAATTGCAGTTCATCTTATAAAGGTCATTTCGTATTCACAAATATCAATATGAAGCATATCAATGAGGGCTTACACTTAAAGCTTTTTCATTCAAAATTTCTTTCTGGTTTAGGCAAACTGTGTTATCTTGGAGGATGGAAAAGAGAGAAAGAAGGAAGGAAGGAAGGAAAGAAGGAAGGAAGGAAGGAAGCTGTGTGAAAATTTTAATCACACTTATCCCATTCCAATTGCTAACCATTTTGTTTATCATTAAATTTCGATTCAATACACAAAAGATGGCCGACTGATTTGTACTATCAAATACAAATGAATGTTGCAAGATGGATGATAATTCAACTGATGATGTACTACGGAATATTATCACCAGGTTTTTTTTTACTTTATTTCTATTTTTTTTTTCTCAAATTTTGTAAAATGTAAATTATTTTGGAGGATTGTGTAAATTGTTTAAAAAAAGTTTGAAATTTATCAAGTTTTTTTTTTTTTGAATCATAAGAATGATGCAGTCATGTGAAAAAAATTTAACTGAAACTATTTTGAGTTACAAATAAGAAAAAAAAATAAAACAATTGAACATATCAGATTAAATTTGGTAACAACTTTATTACTATTATTATTGTGGTCGTTAATAATAATGATAAATATTGAGATGATAATGACTGAAAAAGATCTACAAAAAATGATATTATTTCACTGGATCTTAAATCTAAAATTTTAATATTCATTTCATAATCATAACCTAGATTGCCAGGATTTCTTATTTTATTTTTAATCTTTGCCCTTTTTCTTTTACCATTTTGTAATTTTTTTTCTCATTCTACTTTTACATTTTCTTTGATAAAATAGTAACTTTAATTATTGCAAGAGAGCATTAGCAAAAAAAAAAAAACTTGAACAGGAAAATACTTTCGATGTATTAAATGAGGAAAACATTTATTTCATAAAACTGTCCCTTATAAATAATTTGAATATCATTTCTTCTAGCAAAAAATGTTGAATAATTGCTTGATTTTAGAAGCAAAGCAATTAATGCTTTCAAAGAGCGGAAAAAAAATTGATGAAGCAACAAATTGCATATTTGGGAATTCAAATTCAATTTTGCCTCATAGCCGCATGAGAAAAAAAGAAATTTAATCATTATATTTTGATGATGTCAGTAACAAATGCATTGAATGAAAAAAAAAAAAAAGAAACAAAAAAATTGTATTTTTGCTTTCATTTTTAAAAATAGAATTAAAAAAAATTTATACCACCATGTATAGGTATTTTAGATAAATCAAACGACTATGTCAAATGTTATAATGGATAAATGTAAAACTGCTTCCTTTTAGCGGTATAAAATTTTTTTTTTAATTCTATTTTGCACCCACCCACTTCATTTTATCATCCGTCTGTTAAGAAAAAATGAGAAAGTAAGAAAGATATCATTTAAACAAAATATTGCTAAACTAAATTCAATAGGTTACTAAATTACAGGTACGAATATGAAGAAGATGAATTTCTACGAGAACTGGAACGTATGCGTGATCAAATTCCCGAGAGAACGTCATTATGTGAGGAAGTTCCAATACTCGGTACGTTTACTATTTTTTTTTGCTAAATATACATTTCAAATTAATTATTAATTTTTTCATAATGAATATGTGTATTTTCATAATGAAATATACATTTCAAATTTTCATAATGAATAGATGATGAAAATGAATATGCAAATGAAATCTGTAAAGGAATGTATAAACGAAATAAATCTGTAAATGAATAAGCGAATAAAAATTTCAATCTGTTTAATTTTTCTTTTTCAGATCTTTTTTTTCTTTTTCTATTTATCTTAATAATCATAAATTTTAATATAGCTGTAAAATTATCAAGCGTATAGGAAAAAAAAATGAAACATTACTTTTAATAAATTCCATCAAAATAATATTTAAATTGAAATAATATAACATTTTAATTGAATAATTTTTTTTCACTTTTTCAAATAACATTACGTTATGGAATTAGTTCTAGTTTTAATAGCTAAAGATTATAATTATAATTTAGTAAATTGAATACAATCTTAATATAAGTATCATTAATCAGTTACTATGAAAGCTTTTTTGTTTAAATAGCCGCTCGTTCCAAATTATTTTAAAAAATGAGGAAATAAAACAAAATACGAAAAAATTCAATAAGCCAAAGATTGATTTAACAAAATTTTTGAACATCGAAATGTATATTGTAATTGACATATAACTTTTTTTTTCTTAAATATTATCAATAAAGGAAATTTTGCAATCAAAATGTACGTTAAAATTTTTTTAACTTGATAATCTTTTGATGTTATCATTAGAATTATTGCATTTAATAAATTTCCAATTATTGCTTTACACATTTTTAGAAACTGTTGAGGGATTTGTGAATGTTATTTCAGAAACAGTATTTTAAAAATATTTAAAATTTATTATCGTGAAAGATAAAAATAAAAATGACAAAACAAAGTCTTTTTTTTTTGTTAGCATAATCGCATTAACAATCAAAGTGATAGATTTTGTATAGCGCACACTGCAATTTTTTTTCAAATGAGGAGATAATTGAATTCAAATTTTAAAAAAAAAGAAAAAAGAAAAGAAAGAAAAAGGAATGAGAGAAATGGAAATGGAAGGGATAGTAAAATCCATAATTCACTTCCATCCCAGAATTAATGGAGAGTTTATAGTGTTGAACATTGTTAAATCCAAAAATTTTCCATTAATAGGTGAATATTTCTCATTTATCATTCAGTGAAAATGCAAGGCAATGCAAAAGTATTAATAAGTGCTTTTAGTAAGGTTGAAATTTTTTAATATGATAAAATAAAAGAAAAAAATTATTTATGGTAAGATTTGCAAAAAAAAAGGTATCCAATTCAAATGATAACTGTTGATAAAAGAGAAGGAAATAATAATTGTTAAATGCATTGTTGAGATCAGTTGAATAAATCCAAATTTAATGTTTTATTTTTATGTTTCAGTCAAAACATCATTTCTTTTTTTACTTAATAATTAAATGTAATTAATTGAAAGTTTACAAAATTTAATCAATTTTAAAATAGAAAACAGAAAAATGATAGGGTTACATTTTATATTTGTGCCATTGTAAATTGTAAACTGAAATTTCACTAAAATTAATTTACACAATATAAATCAATATTGCGATAACTTATACGAGTTAAAATTTCGTTTTTTTCCTCCTCTTCTTCTTCCATTTCCCATATTTTTTTTTCTATTTCTTCCAATTATTGTCTGAAATAAAAGTAATTAAAAATTTTAACGAAGAATTATACCAACAATAAATTTGATGGTAATTCATTAGATTAAAATTTCCCATTAATTTAAAATTTTGCGGAATTGATAAAAAAAAGTATGCTTAAATATTTTTAAACACAGTTATATAATCATTAAACTGTTAAGCTGTTAGGATGAAAATTTTCAACAGGTTAAACATCAGTTGATGATGTAAATCATTATTCATCTATGATCAAAGATTTTACTGCAAACAATTTTTTTGAATGTTCAAGGAGCATTGTGTAGTTTGGTTGGTGAAATTAGCAAACTTCGTCGAGAGAATGAAGCATTACGTTATCGGCTTAGTGTAGCAGTTGAGCCAAAACGTAGTGTTGTCCATCGAGTTAGTGCTATTCTGGAAGGTCGAAGTAATATTATCCCGAAAATTATGGGCCGACGAACTTCTCATCAACGTGAAATACGAAGTGGCGCACGTGAACGCTTATCTACACCACCACATAAGGCAAGCTACTAATACTAATTTTATCTTTTTTAGTCCAAAAATAATTCGTATATTTATTCCATTAAATTAATAGCATATATTATCCCAATTATACTGTGTTATTTGAAATATTAGATTAATGAATTTATTGAATATAAAAATAGATCTAATTATTTCCTTTTGCTTTTTGTATTCTTTCTTTTATTTTAAAATATAAACAATTTTTAATAACATGAATTTAATGATTTAACAATTATCACAAAAAAAATTTTCTAGCAAAGAAATAATTAAAATCTTCCGGTAATTAAACACACATTGGTTGATTGATTACATATAACTGAAAATAAGAAGAGCTGTTTCGAAGCAGAACAGAAATTACAACCATTTGAACGTTTTATCTTTCCTTTCCATCCTTCACTCATTTTGCAGATTATATCTGTTTGCTAAATTTAATTCTCAAAAAAATTTTTCAATGATTTTTGACTTTAAAACAAATTGAAGCATTTGTATAGCTCAATTATTAATTTATTGTGGGAGGAAATGAATGGTTTGCAATTTTGTTGAATTTTGGGATTTTATCAAATGATGTGCTTTTTGTTGTCAATTAGTATTAATTAACGACGAAGAGCAAAGCACTTTCTATTTTTTGAAACTATAAAAAATTTTTTTATTTAATCCAAAATTTACGAATTTAACTTCAATTGTCTATATAACGTTAGAATTATTAGATTGTAACAAATCTAAAATACTCATTTATGTTCGCGTAATTTACGATTGGTTGGAAAGTAATTTGTCTTTTCGTTTTAGGAAAGTTTAACAACAAGTTCTTATTCAACTGATATATCTTCGGATGTATCGGATCCACTTCGAACAACTTTAACAGCAACACGTCAAATTCCTGCTCAATCAGTGGTTTTACCGGAAATGTCTGATTCCGATGCAGAACATTCCATTTTTACAGAAGTTAGTTCTTTCACACTTCAATTAATAATAAAAAGTCACAAACTAACAAGTTTTTGATAAGATATGCATTTTATTACTTTGCTATTTCGAAATTGAAATGATTTGTTTTGGAATATTCCGTGATAGGTAAAATAATTTGTACATAAATTATCTTTACATTTCAATACTATTGCAAAATTTTAAAAAGATGATAATAATTACTAAGCACGAAAACTGTCATCCTAAAAAAATTTTTTCGATATATTTTTTAATTTTTTGAAGTTCTCGGTATAATTTATTTAGGTTGCACTACCAAATTATGGAAATGAAAATAGTGAAATACGTGGGAGTCGTGCGATGGTCAGACGTTCCAAAGTATCACCAGTATCGGAACAAACAAGTCCTTCATCAACATCATCTCGCGATCATTCCGAAAATATGGGTGAGGATTCTATGAATTCTAAATTATTAAAATTTCATTTAAGTATTTTATCGTTGAACTGTTTTAGATTAGTTGAAATACAAAAAAATAATAGGAGAGTAAATTTAGGATCAAAAACACTTGAATGAAAAAGGAAAAAGTTTAAAAAAAATTTTTTTGTTGTATAAATTTAATATTGTGTGTAAATATTAACAAAATTTTGATTTTTGATAATTCTTATCTATTAATTTTAAGCCTACTATTGAAAAAAAAAACAAGCAATGATTTATATTTGAATTATTATCAACATTTTCAGCATCAAATCGAACAGGTTTCTTCGAAATAATTGGTTTAAAAAAGAAGAAAGAAAAATCAGTTGAATCGAAAAAAGAAACAATAACCTGCAAAGTGATATTAAAGAAACGGAAACGTAAAATTAGTGAAAGCAGTTCGATTCATTCCACTGACAATAATACACGAAGTGGTAATTATCCGGACATTTGCGATAAACTTAATGAAAAGATGAAACACAGGCGTGATCATCCTTTACTTATCGTACGTTTTCATCTGAAAGCCAACGATATTTACATTTCATTTTGATTTTTTTTTCTTTAAAATATTTCAAATATGTATAATTTATTAAGACAAATGGAGTATTTCATCGATGGCAAGTAAGAATAGTTTAGCAACTGACAAAAGCACATATAATGAATCGAATGGTAATAAACATTCATTGCTTCAAACTCCTAAACAGTATCACATTCAACGTCAACATGTAAATTCGTTTTTTTTTTTTCTTTTCTGCTATAATTTCATTTCTATATTTAATAATAAAATAAAATTATTTCGATATGTTTTTTTATAAAATATTAGGATAACAAAAAAGAAAAAAAATCCGTTTTTTTTTTTTGCTTCTTAAATTATACAGTTTAGAAGGAACAAGAAAATAAAAAATGTTCACGTGAAAAGAATTCAACAGCAATCAGCGAAGAAAGTGATGATGATCATGGACGTTCTAATAGTGCTCCAAAAAGTATCTTTTGTCCAGGTTTTAACGGTTCCAAAACAACTGTACAACGGAATCGTTTTTCAAATCAAGGAATATGTGGTATATATCTATTATTTTTTAACAAAAAGAAAATAACATTCAAAACTTCTTATATTTTTTTTTTTTATAAATTTCTCATAAACAAAACTTAATAATGCATGTTTGTTAAGCAGTTAAAACAAACAACCATTTGGAAAGAAAGAAAACTATCTGTATTAGTTACAAACTATTGATGTGCGTTTTTATTGAAATATTTTAAAAAATTTTTGCAAAATATTACAGTTCTACATTCTTTTTACTAAATGATCATCAATTGTTTTAGTAAAATAATTGAATATTTGTAGATAATCGAGTAATTGTTGATGAGAATGAAACGATACGACATGAATTGATAATGATCAGAAATAGAAATAATCGATTGATTGAACAATTACGTGAAAAATCTATGGAACATTCTAAATTAATAACACAAATGAGTACTCTTCAAAAGCAGGTTAATGATAATTTAAAAATTACAATTTCTTACTTTATTTTACTTTGCAACTTTCTTTTTTCCACTTTTTTTGTTTTTATGCAGATTGGAATACTACGAAATCGTTGTCGTCTTAATGAAGCATTAGAAAAATTATCAATCAATGATCGAATAATCACAAAAGCAACAGCTATAATTGATAGTGTAGAAGAGAAGTTAAAAATTTTCGATAGTAAACTTCAAGCTGTGAAAGCGGAAATGATGAAGAATAGTCAAGCGGTCAGTTGAAGTTCCAATATATACAATTTTGATATTCATATGTTAAGTATTGCGTAGTTTTATCGATCAGTAATTGGTTAAAATTTTAGATTATCAATCAATCGTTTCGAGAACAAAATGCTTATGAGTCATGTTTAGAGCATATTGAAAGATTACAACAAGATAACTTCTCCATGATACAAGATAAAGGATCAAGTAAGTGACAACTATCATTTTGATAATTTTTCTTTCATTTTTAATGCATTTCTGAAATGGATAATTTACAGATATTGGCAGTCATGATCAACGTATTCGTCAATTATTGGAAATAATGCCTTCCTATGATGCCTTGTACTCGTTTACTGTTAGCATAGTTCGAAAGGTTTTATTGGTTTCTTGACTAATTTTGATCTTCTTAAAAAGCATTAAATAAAACATAAAGCATATTTACAGAAATCTTTTGCTAATAGAATCTACCTGAAGTGGACTTTGAACTATTTGAGCCATGAAGATTAAACTGATTCAAATTAATTTTTACAAAGTTCTGTTTCCGAGATCATTTGTTTATGCTCTTTTCTGATCATATCCTTAACTATTAAACTGAAATTTTTAAAAATTTAATTTTTTTACCAAAGAAATTACATTATTAAGGTTACAACCCTGAAATATCCTAATTTTTTTTTTTCAGTTAGGCCAACTTCGTGCCTCTTACATCGAAAAGAACATTTACGCCAATCGATCAGATTTTGAAGTAATGCATGCGCAATCATCCTTACTTATAATTCATGCTCAGGTACATTTGATCAAAAATTGTGCTAATATAGTATAAACTGTGAAAAAAGTTATAAGTATGATATATAAATGTTTGTACTGTAACATTTCAAAATGTGACTTAAAATAAAATGAAATATTATCGTTGATTTTTGAGGTACTTAATTTGCATCAGTAAATTATAGCTGGAACGCTTGAAATTGCAACTTTATGAAGCTACAAGACGTCGACCATCACGACCTATTTCATATCATGGCGAAGATTTGTTGCAAAAAGCAGTATATTAATTTATTTTAATTTCAACACTTAACATAGATTTTTATGCTAAACCGCAACATTCGTCGTAAATACCACAACCGATGGTCACCATATTTATTATTACTTTTTAAGTTTTATTTTTCTAGATTAAGCCAGAGATGAATTTTCTGTTGCCATTTAAATTACACGGATCACGAATTCGGAAATACTATCGTTCCGATTCCTGTGCTGTAGAATCGGAAGTTGAAAAAAATGAACAAAGCATTGAAAATGAATTTTTGCGACTATTCGATTATGCTAGACGTAAGTTTTTCTATCACATTTCTGTTTAAAATTAGGTTTATATTTGTTTTAAAACTATTTATGAGCATGATTTAACATGAAGATTTCATATTATCGTTGGAAATTATCGTTATTTCGCTGAATGTTTTGAATTATATTTTCAAGGTTTATCACGAATATCCGAATTTGCGGGAGTAAATAAAGCTCATCTCGAACGCGCTGACATCTCAAATTCTGGTCCACATGTTAGAGATGATTTGCAGAATACTACTATTATACCAAAACACGGTGAATTACTAATACTGAACAATAACTTAAGCAAAAACTAATAAATATGAAATCATTAAATTTTATCAAAAACAAGAAAAATTTTAGAATTTACGTTTTAATTAAATTAGAAAAGATTAAAGGTGCTCCAATACGACAACAGCTACTTAGAAATCCTGCTAACAAAATCTATATATCACAAAGAAATCACAAATCAGCTGGACGACCAATTAGGTAAGTCTTGGTGATTGAGAGAATTCTTTAGTACCATGACCTACAGTTCCTCAAGAAATTTCACTTACCGTTTGAACTTTTTTTTCGAAAATTTCAATATTAGATTATTTAATTTAAGTTTGGTAGAAACAGAAGATCGAACATTAGCAACTGGAAATATTCCACATTTTGGTGATTATATTACCAAAAAAAATGAAAATAACGTGGGAAACTTATCTCCCATATTGAAGTAAGTATTTTATACTACTCATACTTTTTTCCTTATCATCGGATATATTCAAAGATATATATGTATCCGATGATGAGGAAAAAATATCATATATTGATCATATTTTTTGCATGAAATACAAAAAACAAAAAATAAATAAATAAAATAAAAAATTACCAAATTTTTTATTTGATTTTGACAAGAAGTTTAACGAATCAAAAGTGAAATTTTAAAAATTTCCCAATTGTTTTACTATAATTGAATTTCAAATGAAATAAAACTAACAAAGCACATATCATTTTATTTTTTTTTTTTAAAAATATTGCTACAAAATTTACAACAAAAAAGTTTACTTTTAGCTTAAATCCATTAATAAATTACGATCATACACGATCAATCGTTTCGTCATTGCAAGATGTTCGAAATAATGTGATTCGTAGTCCATCTTCTACACCTATTATGAAACGACGAATGAATTTGAATGAACGACCACGAATTATCAGTCAAGGATCATTGGATTCATTTCGTGGTTTGTAATTTAATGAAAAGTCGAACTGGAATTAGTATTTAAATCTTTTCCACTTATATTCATCTTTTACAATTTTTAAAATATTATATTTTGAATATTTGCAAATCATTTCAGGAAATGAATTAGCTAAATATGATACTCCGCTCTCTCATAGTAGTGGCTCATCTGATTATGCTATTATCAGTGCCAAACAGTTTTATATGGAAAAACGATCAATGTTATCAAAACGATCATCATCAATCAATCCATCCAGACTACCACATTTGGTAAGTTATGATCAGTTATGGTACAATCCAATTGTGAATCGACATATCGCCTTCGTTGTTAACCGTTTTAAATAATAAATTCTTGAAATGTCAGTAAATTCCAATGATTAAAAAAATCCTTTATGCGTAAGTTAGTTGGAGAATATTTGAATTGTGTTAGAAGTGAGTTTTACAATCTTGTTTAATTGTGCATTATTTTGTTTAATCTTGTTAAAATAAATTATTCTGATATTTTTATTTTCTAACTTATCCGGAAACACTGAATTAATTTTATTTCCTTAAACAGCATTATATATGTTTCATTGTTTAAAAATTTTCGAAAATTTCGAAAATGTTTATTGATCGAAAATTTTTTTAGCGCAAAAGTACAAGGCATGCCAATTCACCTCCATTGCTTAGCGATAGTGATGGCCAAAATATTTCTCAATTACGAAGTAATCCTGAAACTATCGGAGTGACCCGAGAGAAAAATGCCGGGTCAGCAGTTTTGAAAAATTTCGAAAAAAGTCGACTTCCGAAAATATCATCTATTGTAACGGAGAAAAAGAAATGTACTTCATGGTTAAGTCGAATCAAAGCGACTAAATAATTCTCTTCCAATAATTGATTCGGTTACAATAACTGATTATAAATCATTCTTGCATGTAATATTTTAAAATCCATCATATGATAAAAATTTTACAATTTTCATCATTATATCGATATATTCGATGACTTCATTGTTATTTCTGGCAGTAATTTCAGATTTGATCAAAATTCAAGAATTTTTTATACATGAAGAGTAATGCAGAGTAACGCAACATTACTCCTAATAAAAAGTAATGCAACTATTTCATTTTATTGGAAAAACTAAGTTTATTATATATATTTTCTATTTAGTTATTGTGTCTCAGTGGTTCTCATTCATTCCAAACTATCTAAAATTATCATTTGACTTCATCTTATAGATTAAGATTTTGCATAAATTTGATTTTCTAATTCTAAATTTTTAAAAATATGCTCTACTATTTGCTATAAATAACTCGACAAATTCTTTACAGCTCTTCACATCAAATGCCATATCAACAATGCTGCTTCATATGCATCTGATTATTTAATTAATAGATATCTGTGCTTCTAATAAGTTGAAATAATGTATATTTAATTTTTTGCATGCAACCATCATCATTCTGATTCTGATATTTTGTATCATTAATTTTATTTCGAAGAAAAATTAGAATAATTCCATTCAGTCGTTCGGATGGATGATGCTTCTATTAGTTATCAATAGAAAAAGTAATAACCAGCATCTTCTCTCAAATTTTCAATTCCATGTCCAATTCAAAGAATTATAAATCAATTTTATTTGTTCAATAAGTTAAATTACAAAACTCACCAATTACTTTTCATCACATAACATAAAAATATTGGCATAAAAATATCAACATGATTAAAGTATTTTTGGTAATTATATTAATAAAATTATTTATCATAAATTTTTGGTCTCAAAAATAAAATATAATCTGTTTATTTCATTATATAACGCTGCCAAATCAGAGCTTTCCTGGAAGGAATACCATAAAAAAAACTGTTGGCAACATAAATGGGTGCCACGGGTCAGGAATGTCTATCATTATAATCAAAAATGGGAAACCGAGAAAAGAGAAATTAGAAAAAGTTCTCGAAGAAGTGAAAAGAATGAATTTAATATCGTTGGATCAAATGCTGACCCGATAAGAAACCTATCAACAGTACGAGAACAGAAAAAGAATTTTTGAAGAAAAAACAATGCGTCTCGAACTATATCTTGGCATGCTCGAAATTGCCAACGCAAATTGGATACAATACATTGAAGAAGTCTTGATTCTATCAAGAAAAAAAGAAAAATATATCCAAATAACAGACGACGAAAAAGACATATTAAATTTAATAAATGAAGAAAAAGGAATTATAATAACTTCAACTGTGTGCAAAAATGGTTGTGAATTAGAACTTTAACACCTAAACCAAGGTTATATAAAGAATGAACGAACTCGTCAACCGAGGTCAACCCAAACAACATATCATCTAACAGTGAATTTGTCCCAACTGCCACTGCCTATATTCAATGATAGCCTGAAATCACGGAGAGCATTTTGGAGTAGTTTTGTTGCAACAATATATCTACAGAACATTCCAGACATTCAACAATTGAATTATTTAGCTATATGTTTCGAAGAAGACAGATTACGCTATGATATAACCCCAAAGAATTATGACGTTGTAAGAAAAGTTCTTAATGGAAAAATTTGGACAGTCATACATAATTAAAAAATCGCTCTAGCACGAGTTTCATTCATCGAAAAAAAATGCTCGACAATGAAAGGTAACAATCGAAGCTATTAAAAGGCTACTTCGACAATAGAAGTTATGGACGAGAAGTTAGAACAACCCAGTATCGAAATCATAACTGCGAACAAATTGTTGGTCTAGAACCCTGGGCAAAATTTATCAACAAAAAAGGGGACAAGGATTATGATCGATCTTACCAAATTAAACCTATTTCTGGAAAAATTAGCTTAACGAAATGAAGAAGCAATTCTCAATACTGAAAAAGACAAAAATCAATTAAGAATAAGCAGAAATCATACTTACGATATGCTACAGAAAAAAACTTCGACTTTAGCTTTAACTACATTAGAGCCGTATAAATTTAAAGAAAATATGAACTCAATAAAGATTAGCAAAACAAGGAAGCCTTGTGTCCCATTATGATAAGGATCTTTAAGATATTAATGTCAAAGTTATCCCACCATCAAACGTTTCATTTCAATTTCAAACAACGAATGAAAGGATTGAAAAAAATTAATGCTTGTCTAAATTGTCTCCAAATAGGACACGTAGCAACAATCTCCAGTAAAAAGAAACGTTTATGCTTCCATTGTAAAATCGTCATAATGCTAAGATATATATGGACATGGATTCCATATATAAGCATTATGAGGATTGGTATCATTCATTATTTACTTCATCATAAAGTTATTTAAGTCCAAGTAAGACGACAGTCAAACTCTGTGATGCTTCATCACACTCAAAAGGAATGAAAAGTTCAAACGAACGTGGACCTATAAAACTTCCCGGCTTGATAGGAATACTACTTCGATTCCGAATGGTGAAAAATATTACAGTAGTAAATATCAAAAAGGCTTTTCTACAATTGTAGTTACTCCCAATAGAAAGAAACTGCACTCGATTCCTGCTTAAAAGATATTTTAAATAATAGAGGATTTAGGCCATATTCAAAGAACATAAAAGCCTT